CTCAATTGCAATGGGCATGTCCTGAAATAAGACTGGGAGTGTTGAATGGAAGTTAGGAAGCCTGTATGTTTGCTCTATCTCAGCAATTTTGAAATAATTATTTGTTGGGCTGGATTTTTTAAAAAGTATATAGCCACAAAGTCCTCCCTTTTCTGTATTTGTGACCCTCAAAGAGTTCTTTACTGCCCCATTGCTGTAGTTTAGAAACTAGAGTGTCCCCCAAAGACTCATTTTTGTGTTAAAGTCTTGGTCCTCAGCTTGGCACCATTGGAAGGTGGTGGAAACTTTAAGAAGTGAGTCCTAATGGAAGATCTTCATGTAATTGGCCATGATCTTGAACTGGATTGTGGGACCCAAGTCTCATCTCTTTCTCTCATTTTGCTTCATAACCATGAGATGAGAAATTTTGCTCTGCCAAATACTTCCACCATGATATAAATGGTCTTGTCATAAGTATAAAACCACAGGTCCACCCAGATGTGGACTGGAACCTCCAAAACAATGTAAAACTTTCCTCTTTGTAAACTGGCTTACCTCAGGTATTTGTTACAATGATGGAAAACTGGCTAACATATCTACCCAGGAAGTAAGAGGGACTCCAATGTGTGCTGGCATTGTAACTGGTTTTGACCAAGTAATTGGTAAGTAATAATATATAATGGGAGTTCTGAAATGAGGCTTTAAAGGGTGCTGCAGCTTCCAACTCCCCTTCTTATTATCTACTGTGAAGCTGCCATGCTAGAAGAAGCTGGAATAAAGAGCCAAGTCAAGAGAGGTCCTGCACTCTCTGCTTTTCCAGCTATCACAGTTGAGCCCCGTACAAATGAATGCTGCTGTGTGACAACTGGCCACCCAATTACAGAGCCTCTGGAAAAGGTAAATTGATGTTTTACACCTCTAGATTTTGATGTGGTTTGTTACATAGCAATAGATAACTGGCACACTTGGGAGGGAATCCACTGAGGAAAGGAAATCTTGAAAATCCATTGGAACATAGATGTGAAAAGGAGTCTTGACTACAGGAATTGAATGAAATAGAGACAGCGCTTGCCATCTTCAAGAAGTCAATAAAGCTGGAATAGAACAGGAACAAAAAGGATGTTCAGAACAAGAGTTAGTATTCAAATACTGAATAAAATGAGAATCACAGAATCGAAATGTTCAGGCCTGGGAGGGCTTTCTGGAGCCAGGTTGTCCAGGGATGACAAATAAGTTCATAGTTTGCCAACTTCAGTTGATTAGTAGTGGATGGTTAGAGGGCTGTGTTGAGAATTCTGGGACTCGATTTTTAACAGAGGAGTTCTATGGTCAATTAGTAATGTCTGACACGGGGTGTGGGGTGAGGAGGGGCATTTTAATCACTTGAAAGTGCAAAACTCTTTCCAGTTTCAGCAGCTTTACACATGCTGCCGAATCCATCACTATTCTTCTAGCTGGCTCATTTTTCAACTTTTCAATTTTAATGTTCTGCTTTTAGAGAAGCTTCCCCTGCCTATAGTATAACTCCTCCTGTGAATGTCTTTTGATTTCATGTCATATTCTGTCACTTTCAATGACCCTTTCTCATAGCACAGCCATTTAATAGCATGCTGTCTGAGGGCAAGGCCATGTCTGTTCTTTTCCAGCTGTTTATCTAGTGCCTAGGACAGTAGTGAGGCATAAGAGGTGCTCAGTGCTATCCATTTAATGGATGATTGAAAGGTAGCATGAATATCGAACTTGACATTCCTGAACTAATTTAATTCCCTCCTTTTCTGAGTCATATTCTTAGGACATAAAGTTTGTGAAGATACAAACTCCTAATCCAGGTCTGTTTCTAAAACCTCATCTATGTACAATGCACATAGATGTGTTTTAAGTATTAGAAGTCATGGAAGAAGAGAGATCAAGACAGTGCTGACAACCTGATATTGTTCTGAAGCAGTCAGTCCATTTAGACATATTATCATCACACTGTTGAGGAAAAAATAATGATGTTCAGATAAGTTTACTTATACACTTTGTCCCTTGAAACTGATGTTTGGCTATGTGGTGGTAGGTGCTGCTGGGTGGAACCAAGTTGTGGGTATGCAGACGTGTTCTGCCTTGGGTATTGTCTCAGTCGCCATCCACACAAATGAAATGTTAAGGAGATGGATGGATGGATGGTTGTAGCATCCTATATCCAAGGGGGGGGATATATTAAATATAATAGGACATTTTCATGCCCCAGATACCCTTGGGACATTAATAGTTAAAAAAGGAGATAAATTGAAGGTGAAAAACAAAGATAGATAAAGATACTTTGTCTCATTCTCAAAAATTAATTGACATCTGTCCAAGGCAATCATCCCATTTGGCAAAGATGTACTGTGCTGTTTGCAAAGCTTTTTCTTATTAAGGTGGCTGGTGTTTCCTAGGGGTGAGTTGTCCATCCATTGACCTATAGAACTGAAGAAGAGGGAGAGAAGGCACTTTCCCTGACCTATGCATCAAGTAAGGAAGAACATTTGGCAAGTTTCTGTGACAGAGTGATGATGACCATTTGTACACTGTTAATATTGTTAGTGTTACAAGAGAGGGACAGAAGAGGTCCTGGAGAGGGGACCTCAACTCAGGATCACTGGGGTCCTTGGCATATGCCAAGGAAAAGAATTTCAGCCATGTCAGATATTAGGCCCAGAGGTTCATTTAGGAAAGCAAAGCGTATACTTTCAAAGGAGAATGTGGGCTATCTTGAGAAGAGCTTTGGGAGTTTTAAAGGAAAGCTGGCAAAGGTGGGCATGGGAAGATACCTGGGGAATGACATCAAGCTGGTGATTACAGAATGGTAGAAGGTGGTCTGGTCATTCTCAGGATCCTTAGATCAATGTATGCTCCATCATCTGATCAAGACTTGTTACTGATCATTGGGAAAAACCTCTATATTATAGTTTTCTGGGAAAGTTCTCCTTATTACGCATTTATATCTCCCTTTGCTTAATGTGTTCTAAGAATTCATGTTTTAATGAGTTAATTAACAATGTACAGGGAAATTTTCAGAAGTGGATGAATTTTCAGTAACTTTAAGATTGTGAGTAAAGATCTATAGATTTCCCAGGAATTTGGGAATGACTGGCTTGGGGAAATCCTGGCTTTGGTAAAATATGAGAAACTTTAGCATAAGGCTTTCAGATTAAAGTTATAGTGATATTTTTTGTTTTATCCTTCTTTTTGTCTCCTTTCTACTTTTTATTTTCTTCTCTATTTTCCCTCAATAGACATTAAAATAATTTTAGTATCTTCTCTATTAAAACATCTGGTTTTATCTTTATGAGATGTGTACTCTCCCTAGTTTTACCACATAAGAGGGGAGTTAGCAAATTTTTTCTATAAGATGGCACGTTGTAAATATTTTAGGCTTTTGTAGATCACAAATTTCCACTGCAATTCTACAATAGTAGTTCAAAAGCAGTCATAGACAGTATATAAATGAATCTGTGTGACCATGTTCTAATAAAACTTTATTTATGAGAGAGAGAGAGAGAGAGAGAGAGAGAGAGAGAGAGAGAGAGAGAGAGAACGAACACTAGATTTGGTCTGTAGACTATAGTTCTTGATGCCTGCTTTAGGAGATTGGAGTCAGTGCTTTTTTTTCCCTCATGAGAATTGAAAACCTCAGTCACGGATTTCCAATGGTTACTTCTTGCCTCCAAATATGCAATTAATACAAGCAGCAAAGTATAGGTAAAATTCCATGACTTTAAATCTATTAAAACAAAGAAGACAAAGTTCATTGTGCCTCTAAAATGAAGTGTCTAATCTAAAAAACTGTTAAAAAATTAAAACGACGTGTAATTTCCAAATTCTGCTTCTATGCGGCAGGTCTTCTGCATGTGAAATTTTCAAGTAGAATAGCTATTATTTCCCACTGATGAACCACAAATGGGCCGAAGATATTTGCATACCTTTTTACACACAGTATACACCAGTCCTCTAACCTCTGATTCTTCTTACCAAATTCCATTTAATTTGTCATTAATTAGTAAATTGTTATGTGAAATGCTGCAAAGCATCTTGGGTGAACCGGCCAGGCTGATGATTGTTCTTTTGGAAGCTATCTGAAATTGTTACCACTGAACAATTTCCATGAAAATAGGAGGGTCTTTGGAGCTGTTCTTTTAAAATAAGAATAAAATGAACCAAATGGGCAGAACAAATAAAGGCAATAATAAATCAAGGACAAAAGACAGGAAACCAGTCCCCCAAAAAGTGTCGAAGAAGAAAGTCTATTAGTTTCTTGTTGCAAACAGTAGGTGCTTTTTCAACTTTCCTTTGAATATGCAATAAACAAAAGAGTTAATGCGAGTCTGAAAATCTTGGAAAGCCAGTTAGTATCTGCTTTAAGAATCTCGGGATCTCTGAAATCCTTTCTCTAAGGGGACTTCCCGCTATAGGCAAGTTCCTTCCTTCTTTCTGTCACACCCAGCCTATTCATTTGCATATATATTTGATCAATTTCAGAATCCTTGTTTTGAATGATCCTATCGCCTAACTGCTTGCTTGCTTGCTTTCTTTCTGGATTTCCTTCTCTCCCCTTCTTTCCTGTCACTTAAAGCAAAGCCCCAGGGCACCTTCCTGATAGATGGGATTTTGCCTTCACGTCGTTTCCAGTGTTTAATTCCTCCTTACTGCCACCATCTCCGGAACCAAGTCCAAATGAAAGGCGAGCCTCTTTGACCCTCTGCCCTCCCTTTCCTGCCTTCTCTTCTCCCGAGTTTCAATGGTTGATTGAACGGTGTGTTAGGTTCACTGAACTTGGTCTTGGCTTCGGTTGCAAGCAGAGACAAAGTCTGCTTCCAGGTCAATTTCCATATGAAAGCCACGGAGATCTCTGTCCCCATTTTGGAATTCCAGGCAGCACCCTGGGCCCTGACTTCTCAGACTTAAAGTTGTCGCCCAATCCCCCCCCCCCAACACCCCGCCCGCCACCCCCATACCCCACCCGGTCCCTAGTCTCCACCCACGGCCGTTTCGCGGGCCACCCGTCTGGTTTCCAGCTTTCCCGAGAGTACGCGCCGCTGCGAACTGAACTCAGGAACAACTTGCTTCGTGTTTTCTGAGGCGGATGGTGTAAGAGGGATGTTTATTAGTTTTTGAGTTGGGCAGCAGGAGGTGGGAGGTCCCGGTAGGACAAGGAGAAGGTGGACGAGTCAAAGCTTGCTAGGGTTGAGTTTAAGAAAATCCCAATTCCCGTTGCCAACTCTTTAGGAACAAATATAGCCCCGTTAAAGAATTTATCCAGCTGTAAATCTGGTTTGGGGTCTTAGGTGAATTGCATCCCATATTTCTGCCTCGCTTACTTCCAAGTTGTGGTTTTTGTCAAACTGGAAAACGAAAAACCAAAAAGACCTTGCACCTTTCCATTGCATTTCTTGTGTAAGCAAATGCCTTGTTTGGACCCTTAAAAACGCCATTAGCAAAAAATAGTATCCCCAAGCTAGAAGGAACTCAGGAAGCCTGTTTCTGTTCAAAAGCCACAGAGATGTGTGTGTGTGTGTGTGTGTGGGGGGGGGTTGACAAACAGAAACATCACCCTCAGGTCCTCATCTTCTTCCCCTCAGAACAGCTTCATAAGTTGCTAGTGGCCAAATCAGCTTTTATTTACTGGCTCATGTTAATAGCGGTGCCTTGATGTTTTCTTTTGAAGGTCTTGCCCTTGTGAATACCTGGTTGCAGTTCAGTTAGGCTCTGAACAATGCTTGCTTCTTCCTGTTGCTGGGGAATAAGGCACAGGGATTTATAAACTTCTGGTGGGACAAAGGCTATTACTGTTTTCATTATGTCTACTAAAAAAAACATCACCTTTATAGTGGGGGCCCAATTGCCTGGAAAGTTATAAATATAGCTGTAATTTGGACACCGCAAAATTGTCACAGAATCCCTGCCATGGGTATGAAGAAGAGGCATGTTTGTATGTATAAAAGGGTGTGTAGGTGTGCGTGTACATAGGCTCATTGTACGTCTGTGTGTTTTTATGCATGTTCTCTATTGTATATGTGCGTGTGGTGTATTTTCAGTCATGTGCGCACAAAGGTTCTTGGCATATATATATGTGAACATGTGCAAGTGTGTGAGGTGCATAGGCACAAGGAGTTCCTGGAGTGCAAAATCTAAATTTGCATGAGTGGGTATGTGTATCACTGAGTGGAGTGGGTGAATGTGCAAATCAAGAAGTGGAATCCTGCCAAAGGAGACCTAGCCTCCTCCTAGCAGCCAAAGGCTTTCAATACTCTTTGTTATGGTTGCATTCCCAGTGGGCTCCAAACCTCAGTCTCTGCCTGGGGGTACAGTATACTCTCCTGAAAGGAGAAATTATTGAAATGCAGAATGTCTGCTGCTGCAAGCCCAAACTCTCCTAAAGTCGTGCTGGCCAGGTCCCTGAGAAACAGCCTGGACATCACTGCAGATGCAGGCCCTAAGCAAAAACACATGTGCACGCCTCTGCCTTGGAATCCAGTGGTCTTTAAGGAAATGCATCTCTGCGGAAGAATGAAGGAAGGAAAAACTGAATTAGGCCCACTGTTTGCAGTGAAGGTGCCTAGTGTCATTTATTATGCTGGCCAGGTACCTTCAGCATAGATTATAATAAGATAATCTCTCCTTGTTCTATCTGTGGATCCTTTATTGTCCTGCATCTGGCCTCTGTAATGAATTCATACACAGATGGGTGACAACAGGGAAGAAGACTTTTCGTATTTCAACAGTGTTAATATTGATCACAGAATAGATTAAGAGACAACTAGGAGGAATTTCTTCATGGGATCAAATTCTCCCTCTTTCCCCAAACCCCTGAGAACAGCCGGCAGCAGGAGACACCAACATTTATCAATGCAACAATTTCAACTCTTGAGCAAAGAGCCTCCCCTTCCAGAGATTTTGCATCTAACAAATCATTGTATTTTGTCCTTAAATTTATCCCATGGCAACATTTTGGCAGGATTGTCGGACTGTGGGATAAGGAGTCAAAGAATTTTCAAGAAAGGATTTCCCAACCCCGGCTGCTGCACACTGAACAGGCATTGTCCAGGGAGAGGTGGTGATGATTAATCACGTCCAGTTCCCTAGGACGACTCTGCCCTTCCCCCTCTCCCTTCCCACTCCCTCCCCTTTCATAGGCTTCTATGACAGGGAGAATGATTTACTGACTAGTTGAGGATAACAGATATCAGGTCTTAGGGCCAATCTAGTTTAGTGTCTTTTAAATAAACAGGCCTGGCCTTGCCTTGGGCTCTAACACCATTGCCTTTTTCATGCCCTTTATTCTGAACAGTTTGTCTCTGCTCCAGATCCTGTTTGCTTTGCTTGGTCCCTGACCCCTGGACTTACTCTGCAGCATCATGGCTGAGACCTCCTTCGTGGACTTGCCTCCCTCACTCTGACCTCTGGCTTCCCCTTTCAACTGCAATTCCCAATTACCCTTCTCTCTGGGGGAAGCACTTTGCATGCTCCCAACCAGAATCCTTGTTGGGTTCTCATTAGTTCCAGGGATAGAACCCCAACTCCTGGCCAGCTCCAGCTGTGTTCTGAGAATTCCTGCAGGAGATTTAATAGGAAATACAGGGAAAGAGGACTCTGGGTTATTGCGCATCCATAAACGTGCCAACCGCGGTGCAGAACAGCTTTATGTGTGTCACCTACAACCAGATGTGTTTGTTCCCAATTAACCTTTGCAGAAGCTGAATCTACAAGAGTTGAAATCTATTGCCCAAGGTCACTTGGCATAGCTAGTAAGTGGAATAGCCAGGATTTTAACTCACATTTAACGGTTTCCTGTTATCTTGCTCTTTCCAATAATCCTAATCCTAATCAAAACAGTATTTGCTGAGCACTTATATCTGCCAGACTTTGTGCCAAGTCAATTATTTATACTATTTACTTACACTTTAAAATTTGAGATTAACTTATATACTATAAAATCTACCCTTTACAAGTGTAAAATTCAATGTTTTTTTTTTAAAAAATGTATTCACAAGGTGGTGCAGCCATCACTACTGTTTCATTCCAGAACATTTTCATGCATACTCATTACCAGGCACCTCCAACTCCCCACTTCCTGCCCTGACAAACACTATTTTGCTTTCTGCCCTTTGGATTTGCTTATTGTACACATTCCACAAAAATGGAGTCACGCAATACGTATTATATTCTTTTTGCCTGGCTTCTTTCACTTAGCATCATGTTTCCAAAACTCATCCATGTTGTAACGTGGATCAATACCTTACTCCCTTTTATGACTAAATAACATTATTCTGTAAGGATATAGCACATTTTGTTTATGTTAGGTAAACTTCACCATTACCCTTTGAGGTATGTGTAATTATTATTGACATAAATAATGATTTGATAAACTGGGCTTTCCAGAGGTTATATGGACAGGTTAATATAACACTCTACATCATAGAATCACAAATGTGATTGCATTTTTCATTTGTTTTCAGCTTAAGTTGCTTATTTGCCCATTGTAAGCAGACAGTGGGCTGAACTTGGAACTCCTATGTGACATAAGTTGTTACACCAGGCTTTCTGCCAGCCTGTGACCATGCAGGACCCCTCCCTGACCTCCACTTCAAGATTCTGCTCTATGTTCTCCCTCCAGGAAGCTCCCAGATTAATCCCAAGCCCTCAGCCCTGCAGTGCCTCCTTGGCTACAGTGGTTTCTGGCAGAGGAGAAGTAAACCAAGAGACACATCACTTTGTAAGAGGCATTTCATTATGCTTCTCAGTGAGCACAGTGTGTCCATCCAATCCTCTGCCTCAGTCAGAGATACTGGAGGTACAGTGTTTCCTTTCCCAACAGGGTCTCCAAGAATCAGGTGGTTTCAGGAGAAACCAAAATGAGAACTGAAAATTAAAAAAAAAAAGATTCTATATTATGTCAGTAGGCAAATTACCTTTATCAATAAGATTATGTTTATATCAACCTCTTATCATTTCAGCCTATTTTTCTGATGATAAATATTGATTAAATGCTCATCTCAGAGCCTATAGAATAAGGCACTAGTCCCTCTGTCAAGGGCTCATACTCAGAGTGGGGAACTAGATCATGCACAGGGCAAATCAGTGGCCTTAGAGGGCTCTGCATGCTCTGTCACTCATGGACATCGACAGTGGGTGTGTTGTCAGAAGAGGGAGGACCACTGTGGATTGGAGCGTGCGGGGAATCCTCCCTGTATTAGAAGGGGACAGGATAGGCTTGAGGAGAGGGGGGCATTGGGACCTTGAAGAAAGATTGGGACTTAGAAATAACATCTCAAAGAAACAGAGGTGCAGGAAACAGCCCTGCCCAGGGATTGAAATGCAATGGATGTGGTTGGAGAAAGCTGAGTAAACCCATCAGGCTGGATTTGGAAGGACCTCCTTGGAGGGGCGGGGGGGTGACTGTGAGGGAAGTGAGAATGGGACCATGGCAGGACAAAATTTTGCATATAATTTGTTTGTTAAGCAAATAAAATTTGGACCAGGGGAACCCTGGGAGGGTCAACCTGAGCATGGTGCAGTCTGCTGGCAAGACATGAAGTCTGGAGGAACTGGGGGACAGTGTTGCTCCTTGAGAAATTAAAGCAGAGATATGGAGCCTAAACCTTCTAGGAGGGACCTGGAGACTACTAAAAGCAAAATGCAGATAATAAGCAAGGCACCCAGGAATTGACCTAATAAGGCCTGGTGCAGTGTGGGAGATCAGGGGGACGATTCCAAAGTGTCCTGGACAGTTGGCCATCACTATGCATTGCCCCTTTTGGTGGGTGTAATGGTTTGGATCTTAGATGTCCCTCAGAGTCTTGGTTCCCAGCCTGTGGTGCTTTTGGGAGGCAGTGGAATCTTTAGAAGGTGGATAGGATCTAGTGGACGATTTAGGTCACTGGTGAGTTCCCTGGAAAGGGATATGGGGACCCCGTCTCTTTCTATCTCTCTCTTTTGTTTTCCAGCCATCACAAATTGAATAGTTTCCTCTGCTGCTTGCTTCCTGCCATGTGTACCTGCCACAGGCCCAAAGCCACAGGATCAAGTGATTGTGCTCTGAGGCCTCTGATATGGTGAGCCAAAATAAACCTCAATGTGCAAGGTGCATTAGGTACATTAGCTCCCGTGTTCACAATGTGATGTAAAAAGTAACTACTCAGACAGGTGAAGGGACTTGCCCAATGTCCAACAGCTGGCGAATAGCAGGACAAAGGTTCAGTCCCCGTGTGGCTGGTGTCAAGCCCATGCTCCTTGACTCACTCTTGCTGCATCTGCACAGGTTTTTGGATATTGTATTGCCAGCGAGGTATCTGTGCAAATTTTCATGCCAATCATCCTAACTCTGGGCTTCTTAATCCATTCATGAGGATCACAATCCAGTCCTGGTTATGTGTCTTGCTCTGGCCCTAAAATGTAGATGCTGAACACAAGGTCAGAATAAAAAACTGGGAAACCTGTGCATCTGCTCAAAGCCTTGCAGGAGTTCAATCAATTCTGTCCATTTATACCCATGAGTTTGATGCTACATGGCCGAGTTTTTCTACAATTGCGCAACTACCTAGTGCTAGTATTTCTCTTGGTATTGGAGAGTTAATCTGCCTAGATTTCATCTTTTAGTCAGTAATCCACGTTGTTATTTTATAGCTTTGTGTGAACCCTGGCCTCTTAATTCACAGTACTCATCAGGGGGTTAAGCACATGCATGGGCACGTGTGCACACGTGCGCGCGCACACACACACACACACACACTCGGCCTTTGTTATTGGAAGAGAACAAGAACAAATAGGCAGTGAGAAGCAGTCTGGCACAGGAACATCTCTTGCCTGCCTGGCGAGGTCCACGTGGAGGCCGTGCTGCAGGGGTAGGTGGGGTGCAAGGGTGGGGGAGGTCTGCTCCCCTGACCTTCCCACCAGGGTTTCTGGCACCAACGCTTACATTCCAAGCATCCTCTCCGAGGGCACCGCTTGGGGTATGAGGCGCGCACATCAGGCCAGGAAATTTCATCCATATGTTTCTGATTCATTTACACTCATAAAAATGTGATTTTTAAGAGCGACGTGACATGCAATAAGCTTTCTAGGGCCGTCTCTTCTGTTCTGTGGCTCTGCTCTTAAGAACAGATAGATCCAAGAGAAACCAAATTCAGACTGCAGGATTCTCCCAGAGGCACAAACGGCAGTAAGACACACACAGGCGGACTCCCAACCATGCACCAGCAGGCTGGAACTGCCCGAGATGTGCTTCGGCCCTTCCCCAGGGAGCACTGGTTCAATAACCTAAGGGAACCGTGGCCTTTTTCCTTGCTATTTTTATTTCCTCTATTTCTTATACTTTCACTGGCTCTCGTTACCCTATGAATTCTGGAATTCTGATTCTCCTGCTGTGCTTATTGCCCGGAATTCTTTGCAGCCACCCAGTGCCCTTGTTTCTCGGGGTTGGCATGTCTCAAGTCGATCCATTTGCTTCCTTTGTTTCGTGCTTTTATTTACGGAGATATTGCAAATTGTCTCAAATCCTTATTGTCTTTTAAACTATAATTCATCCAAATTTGGCTCAAGAGCTGTTGTGTCTTGGCCTCCAACGAGGTCACCCAGCCCTGCCATCACACTGCCCTGTAGACTGTTGTTAAGTGGTTTTCTGGTGGGCCCTGCTTGGGTTTCACTCTGCTGCTCCTGGAGATGGTGGGTGAGGTTTGACCCTGTGATGCCATCATTTCCAAGGGACGGAGAACCACTGCATGATACAGCTTCAACTTAGGAGAAGTTAGAATCTCTGAAAGGCCATGGAGCAGTAAAATAATCTCAGTCTCCCCACTTCCTGGTTGTGTGCTTAGGCCTCAGTTTCCTTTGCTGTAAAGCGAAGATCATAAAATCTGTCTCCCAGAGTTGCTGTAAGGATATGACAAGACGATGTCATGTTTGACTTGTATCTACATGGCCTACCAGAGTGCCCAGCACACAGGAGGGACCTTTCACATTGATGACACTATCAGCTGAAGGCCACCAGCAACAAACCTGTAGTTAAGCAAATTGAGTGTGCAACCCACTGCAGCAGAGGACTCGTGTACCCTAGGGATCTGCGGGGAGTCTCTGTAAGGTGTGTAAGAGCCTATTAGCTTATGCGCTTTAGTTAAGTCACTTGGGAGATGGCTTAAGGAAGGGGTTTTGACACTGTCGGGAAGTGGTGCTAATTCTGTGATTGGGTATCTTAATAAATCTGATCAAAAGAAGAGAAGACCAATTGAGAATAGACCTGGAATTGGTAAGGAAGTAGCAGTCATTCATTCTGACACAGAGATGGGAGGGTTTGCTTTTGTGCCTGGCACCTTGATCTAGACACACTTAGGAAATGTGTCTTACTCTGTCTCATTTTATCATGATCTTGGAGGACCTTTTTCTGAGGGTGGTATTCTGTGAACGGTTCCTGTCTAGTAGGATCACGTGGATGAGCTGTGAGTCCCAGGTCAATTTCTGAATGTGAAAAGTTTCTTTCTTTCTTTCTTTTTTTTTTTTTTTTTTACCAAATTCCTCCTTTTCTCTGTCTGTCATGGGGAACACAGAGTGGTCAGCTGGCCAGTGTGTCTGTAAGGAAGTTGAGTTAGGGGATGAGCGGCCTACGTGTTCTGCTATCATTTGAAATGGACCCTATGGGACCCCAGAAGTAAGAAAGCCAGCACTTTGGTTGGAGAGCAATGTGGCAGAGGGGAGAGAGGAAATAAGAGCATCAAGGAGCCTGGAGAGTATTGAATATTTCCTGAATCCTTGTCCTCCTGGATAAGTGTGTGTGTGGTGGGGGCGGTGCAAGGAGTCCCAGGAGCTAGAGTAAGAAGTAGAGAGGACCGAGAGCATGTAGCAATTTGGTGGTTGGGCCCAAAACTGAACAGGTCTGCACATGAGCAGAGAGATCTGACAGAGGTGGAAACCAGTACAGGAGGAGCAGTGGATATAGGGAGATCAGGTGAGAGGCCCCAGGCTTGGGAACTTGGGCAAGCTTTATAAAGCACAGCAGTGGAGAAAGAAGGACTTTATTAGATGTCGCTGTCCTCAGATACTTGTGGCATTGTTTTAGTCAGCTTTTGCATCACTGTGACCACTATACCGGACAAGAACAATATCGAGTTGGGAAAGTTTATTTTGGCTCATGATTTCACACAACTCCATAGCTCTGGCCTGAGGTGACTCAGAACATCATGGCAGAGGGTGTGGTGGAGAAAAGCAGCTCAGACCTGACAACAGGAAGCAGAAAGAGAAAGAAGCCCACTCACCAAGGACAAATATAAACCCTAAAGGGCACACCCCCAGTGACCTACCTCCTTCAGCCACACCCTACCTGCCTACAGTTACTTCCCAGGTAATCCACATCAGTGGATGAATCTAGTGATTAGGTTACGCTTCTTGCAATTTAATCATTTCACCTCTGAAAACTCTTGCATGAACTCATGAATTTTTGCCAGATACCTCATATCTAAACCATAATAGGCAAACTCTTAAAGATGCTAGATCAGATTGGGTAAAGATGGCATATCAGGAAATCCTAGGGAATAATGTGTGTTTGAAGGTTGTGAAAGTAAGAAGCCTCCAGATAATTCTTAAGTGTAGTCTCCCTGTTCCCTGATCCCTGCAATATACATTTATTTGTTAGGATTCATGCATTATGGTGTTTAGTTGGGCTTCTGTATGGTTATACTGGTTTCACTGAAAAAATAGTGTTGCAACAAAATTCTTTCCCACCCTGAGTCACAGAGATGACGTCTCTCCATCTTTAACAAATCTCAAGAGTTTTCTAGCAAACCTATTACCATAGCTTGGATATAGTTTATTCCCCGCAGGTTTATGTGTTGGAGGTCTGACCTTGTTGTGTTGATGTTGAGGGTGATGGAAGCTTTTAGAGGTAGAATAGAGTGGGAGGTAGTTAAGTGGGGGGTCTTGGCCCTCGGATTGAACTAGTTCTCATAGGACCTCTTTAGTTGTTGCAAGAGCAGTTTCTTGTAAAGCAAGGCCTGCCCCCTTCTAAATGTGGTCATTTCCCTTTCTATTTCCACATCAAGTTGTGGCATCCAAGGAGACCATCAAGAGGATACTGGCATCACACTCTTTGGATCCTACAGTTGCAAGAAACATGAGCCAACATCTCTTTATAAGTTACCCAGCCTCAGGTATTTCATTACAGCAACATAAAGTGGACTAATACATATTTGTTAAGGATGCAGCTAGCTCTTCTCTATGTGCCTCATAATTTATAATTTTCCTAGTAAATCTGAAACTGGGAAATTTCCCTTAGTTAAAGTCAATGCCAGGGGCTTTCCTTTCCTTGGTGCACCTATAGCTAGTGCCCATATGCCAGTCCGGGATAGAGAGAACAATAACAATTTAGGGCCCAGTGCCCAACTTAATTCTTCTACCCATTCACTAGTCTCTTTTTAGATTCTTTGTCATGTTTCTGACTTTCCTAATTCTTACTACCTGACAACATGGAATTCTGTTTTCCTACTTCCTAATTCTTCAAGTCTTTCTTGCCTACTGGGAGTTAGTTGGCTTTGATTCCAGATCGTTGTGTCATAAAGACCACCAGTTTCTAGGCCTAACCTGGACTTGGTTCTATGTCCCTAGTTCTGTCCCTGGTTCTCTTCCTGAGTCCCTGCATCCTGCTGCTGCTCCCTATTGTCTGTGAAGCCTGACACTGAAAATGAGGGAGATGGAGAGAATACATTCAGTACAGAGTAGTCTAGACTATAGAATCAGCTTGATGAATAGGAAGAAAGACATATTGGTGGAGAGGTTAGCTCTGTGAGGTCTGTCTGGGGGTACCTTTCCTGGTTCTCAGCTACACTGTACTGATGTGATGGTGCCCAGCTGGGTCTCCCTATGGGAAGTGGCTTATGGACCAACCTCATTGTCCAGGATAGACCATCCCATGTTTGAGAATGGGTGGCAGTTTGTCCCTCACTGCTTGCAGCTCTTGCCCTGCTTCCTTCTGTGTGACCACACAGTTACACTCCTTGTGGCATACCCGTCCTTCCCTAGATGAACTTCCTACTGCCCCAGAGCTCTAAGGAGTATACTTCCTGCTTGA